GAATTCTAAACCACTCTAAACCACCCATTTTCTAAACCACTCTTTTATCAAATACTTTCCTTCTAAATCATCAATGGAACGAACATGCATTTGTATTATTACAGATCATAAATTTAAAAATTGTTAAAGTGAAACTTAAAATGATGCAGTGAAACGCAAAACACTGAAAATTAATTGGTGTTTCCGACAGCATGTACTTGTATAAGTTGAATCGGTAAAAAAATCCAAATTTGAAATCGATTATTTTTCATTTGTAAAAATACAGTCCGTCAGGTTTAATTCAGCGATTTTGCTTTACTCATCAGCAACTTTGCAACTTTAAAGTGATAGATGATAAAACATACAAACTTATTTGCCTTCTTCACTACAAGCACAAATGGCATGATAATCCTTTTAGACAATACGTTCGCTTACCAATTTCAGTATTACTCACATCCTTTATTTAGGTAAAATTTCAAACGTTTCAAACTTCATTACAAAGCAGTTAAATATAAAAAAAGAAAAAAAGATAGTTACCAACATAAATAATATCTTAATATTTTGAGACTGCTTAGCAATAAAAAACTAGTAATTAAAAAGTTCTCGAGAAAATAAAACGAAATTATCTATATATTTTCATTTTATTACAATTTCTTTCTTCAAGGACATTATACCAATTATTGATTTTACAAAGAATACGGAAACGTAAGAAAACAAAAAAAAAGACAAAACGAAGAATGATCATTAATTTAAAGGTAACAAGTTTAATATCTTATGATATTTCGAAAAACTATTCAAGAAAGATTCCAGAACGTGTGCAAAACATCAGAGAGATGTTGCAGTATGGATTAATATGAGCACTCATTTCTCCCCATCATGAAATAATTAGAAAACAATTCGTAAGTTTTTCAAATTTCAGGTTTTTTTTTGCAATAAAATACGCTAGTCAGCTAAGAAGGTAAAAAAAAAAAAAACAATTATTCTACCCATTTTTAAACCAATATGAAATACATCTAATAATAAGCAAATTGACTGAAAAGTAAATGTGAAAAACCTGAATAGGAATACGGCATATAATATGGAACAAATTTCTTTGCACCGGAAATTTTTATGATCTACTGCTGCCTATTTACAATTATTTATACGATTAAACGAAGAATACAAAGAATCAGAAATGTACGACAAATTTGTTGACATGAAAGCATTTATAGTAAATGAATTTATGACCCTCTCTCAAATAATGCATGCTATATTTTCACATTTAAAAATCAAGTAATCGAAAAACAAATCTATTTATGGATGTTGTTTCAACAAATCTATTTATGGATGTTGTTTCAACAAATAACCCATAATCAATATTTGAAAGTTTCAAATTCGAAACATGAATTAAATTAATTCGGAATCGAAGAAAAAATATTTTTCATATTTTTTCTTGTCTTAATATCGCATATCGCTGATAAGTGACAAATTCAATTTAACAGCAAATGTAATACAACATATGTCAAAAATGAAACCCATTTTATATTTCGCGAATATATTGTATTTTTTTGTCAACAGCAGGTGGATTTTACTTTTCATGAAATCTGAGATAGAAAACTTGACCACACATTGTACTCACCAAAAAAAAAGTTTGTATAACCTGGTGTAAAGTTAGTGAGCTCAGAACAAAAGATAGCAATCAAAAGTATAGGATTTGAATGAACCTTATAACTGTTATTTCAATAATATTAAAAAATGAGCACCAATAAAAATAACTCGAGGACTATGTGAACAAAATATATTGGCGCAATCCCTTCAACAATATAAATGCAGAATCTACCACAAATCAAACTGAAGAATCATGATTCATCATTAAAAACATCGATTACAGGTTTTGCACGCTGACCGCGTCCTTTCATTATTTTACTTCTAGCTTCCTCGAATCGTTCCCTTTCTTCTATTTTTTCTCTTTGCAACGAAAGGATCTCTTTTGCAGAAACGAGAATAAGACCTAGAAAGCAAAAAATGAAACAACTGTGATTTGTTGCAAAAAATGAAACAACTGTGATTTGTTGTGCTGAATGAAATGACATATTGCAAACTACGAGAATTCCAATAATGAGAAACTTCTTTCATATTACCTTATATCTCTTATTGGCGGCATTGAAAACAAGTCACAAGAATCCCTTCACTTTCAAAAAGCAATATAAGGTAATATGAAAAAAACCTCTCACTGTTTGAACTGGAGAATTATAGAGGTATTGTTTTATATCATAAGCATGAAAGTAACTACATTTCAAATTATTTCTCTATAATACATCGCTAACATCGACAAAAAAGGATAGCAATTTTTTAAAAAAGAAAGTTATTTTGACGAGCCTGAAGATTGCTCCTTTATTTCATCAATTTCACCCGCCAGAACAACATTTTCTCCTCGAATTAAAAATACTCCACGTTGTATATCACCATAATATTTATCAATATGGATTCTCTCTAGAGTTTCATGCAGTACCAAATTCGCAAACTGATCAATTGTCCTGAAATAAGACATTCAAATGATACTTCACAATTATTTTGAATTTCAATTACATAAATTGATAATTTAGCAATAAAAGTAATAAAGAAAATTCGTCTACAACGCCAATTATAGCAACTAACACTGCCCTCAATCAGCGTACAAATTTCCAGACCATATCAGAGTCTAGAAAGTTCAACAAGAGAATGCTGATTCTTTTAAAATGTGACTGCAGTATAAAACACCTTAAGTAACCAATCAATGTGCGTCCATCACGAAGGACTACCAAAAGTTTTTTGTCGAGTTGTTCCAACAGGCTTAGAGCGCCAGGTAAATATGGATCCGGTAAATCCATTCAGGAAACTTCTAAAATTTCTGAAAATAATTTTGAGTTCACAGAAGAAAACAGGGATAACTTCATTGTTTTTGTGAAGAATTTTAGCGACTCAAATCTGAAATATTCTAATAAATCAATCCAAGTTATTTAAAAAATATTAAAAATATTAAATCAATAATCACTTCAAGGCTTCATATGAAAATGTATTCACAAACTTCAATCGTGAAAACTCGAAATGTAAACCAAATAATAAAGACGGTAAAATATCGAAAATTATCCGAACTAGGATATTCAGAAGACGATACAAATCCAGATAAAAATAATGCTTTATTTACAAAATTTCCAAAATTATTATTCGATTTTATTATGAAAATGATGAAAATGAAAGAACAAAGTTCTATCACATTAATTTCATGGATTATACAACAGGCCAATTCCATTGACCTTCAGGAGCCTTTTCCACTAAAGGTTCCCAGGCTTGACTTTTCAAAATTTCTTTTGCTGCTAATATTTCATACTTTGCCTGTAAACAAATTATTTCTCTCAATTCTAATTTTTCTAGTTTATTTTCTCCCTATTCATTAAAGGGATCTTAATTTTAGTGCAGCAAGTATTTTTATCTTTTACTGAATTGCGGAGTGCACTACTGAAAGTAAGAGTTTCTGCTTTTGTTTTTGAGATGTTCCCAAAACTGACAAAAAAATAAAGAATTCCACTTCGAATCGAAAATCGATCTCCAACTACCGAGACTCTTTTTCATCTCATAAACAAAAATACCTGTATGATAACTTCTTCAATCTGTCCCATACCAATTTTTTCTTCCAGTTTCTGAATATCTGGTTCCTGGAACAGATTCATATGACAAACTGCCTAAACTGGTAGTAGTTGTTGTTATTTTAGTTTATAGCACGACTGAAATTATTCTAACAAATAAATGTTAACCTCTCGCACTAATGCCATCCTCTTTTTTACAAGCTGTTCCGTATATTTCCGGTATGACGAATATGAAGGTATCTGTTCCAAAATTTTCATTAATCGGCCATATTCTTTCAACAAATTTTGATGTGCATATTCATCAACAAATAAGCCAGTTAATCCCGTTGTCTGCAACAATAAACTAAGTAAAGAATGAAAAGCAAGATAAAGCAGAAAAAGCTAAAGCAGAAAAAATCTTCCAGGATCCAAATATACAAGAAATAACCGTAGGGAATTGAGACATTAGGAATAATATGTAAAACGAATTGAAAGAACAAGACTGACCATAGAAATTGGCACATTTTCTTGGTTACTCTTCTTTTATTAATTTATTCCTATTCTATTACATACCTGCTTATGAAAAGTCGGTGAGGGAGACTTTTTAGGTTTAAACGTCTTTATATACGGATTCTCATACATCGTCCGTATTGTAATTTGCAAAATGCGTTGCGAAATACGCTGTAAACTGTTGGAAACGAGCAACATCTTTGACCTGAAATGGAATGAAAAAATAGACTAAATTTAAAAAACCACATCATTAAATGGTATATGACATAGAAAATATCAGCAAGACATTTGATGCAACTGCCCCTTTGATTCATGTTAAAATTTTCAATTATAAATTAGACAATATCGTTCAAATTTGAGAACATCCAATAGGGTATGAGAGTGAGGATGACTATACCAGCAGTAAAATGTGAAAAAGACGAAATAACCCTTACTGATTCTGACTTTTTCTATCTTTACGTTTGTTTCTTAAAGAATATAAAATTATCGACTCTAGGCTTCACTGAACCAGTTAAAAAAATAAACAAAAATTTCATGGCACTGATCAAAACTCTCTATAAAAAACCGCCTAAAACTGCAGACAGACAATGCAGTTCAAAACTGTGAGGTATATATTTCATCGAATTAAAAAAAAGTATCTATCGTCCCTTCAGAAATACGACAAGAATCGAAAACTGTTTTGAAAAGAGTAAGGAAATGATAAAATTAAATAAAGTGCATTTTTCTTGCATTTCTGAGAAAAAGAACTACATTTTATCAAAAAAATACATTTTTAGAGACAGTACAAACTACATGTTAGTTACATGTTAATTACAAGAAGCATAATAACATTAATTGAGAGAAATGCTGCAAATGACGAAGAATTAAGATAGGAAAGAAACATAATAAGCAAACACCATAAAATAAACTATTATCCCACAAAATCTCACTTTAAAATTAACAAACTCGAAATCAAAATAATTGAGTAATTGAATTTAATGGTTCGCCAATGAAGCGTCGGCATGAAAATTCTGTCTCATTGCTGATTTTGATTAATTTCATGGATTACATTTAAATTGCTTAATTTTAAAACTTATGGTTTTGAAAAACTTTCAACTTTTATTTCATTTTTATGAGTATGAAAAAAATACACCTTATTTTTTAAACAGTAATTTTTGACGTCTCAAAGTTGCATTATTGTTGCTATTATATTATTATTTACTATTGTTGTACTCGTTGTACTTTGTAGTTACTAATTACTAATCATGATTTTTAGCTTCTCTATCATCATTGTTGTTGATAATCTTTTTCATTACTATTAATGACAGTAAATTTATTTATTGTTACAGTGATTATTTATCGTTATGTAATTACAGTAGTAATACTGTGATTGCAAATCACGATAAGCGGTAATTTGATGAAATAGCATTGCTAGTCTTACTTGAATTCATTTAATAGCTACACAGTTATTATCAATTTTATTTTATCACTTGACGGTTGCAATATTCATAAATTAAGATTGTATCATATTTAATTACGATAATTATACATCACCAACAACAGAAATTGCAAAACTTATATGCATGCATTAATTTTTGACAAACTATTTACTCGATGAATTTTTTCCAATTTTATTATTCCGATATTTGAAATGCATGTTAAAATTAACAAGAATTGAAATTGAAATAATTTTACAAGTCATTTTATAGTTTCAATTGCATAAACTATTTGTTATTTTGATTTCACTGTCCTCTGTTCAATATTATCAAGTCAAGTGATCGATCGATGATTTTTCGCAATATTGGACTATAAATTTGTGCAAATTATTGATGATAATTCAAATTTGAAATTAAGGTAAAATAATCAAAAGATATTTGTGATATTAAATAAACCAAAAATTGAAATTCTCAAAGTGTAAGTTAATCATTTCTTTTCTACTGGGCATTCATTCAATGATCACTTTTCCTTAGCTTACTCTTATCGAATCGTTATCAACAATAAGAAACATGCGTACCTTCTTATCATTTTATCATCATCAGGGATGGCGATCCATGTCGGAATGTTTATCCGTTTGTCGCTTAATTTTTCTCTGAATCTGTAATATCAAAAGAGAATATCATTCGGTATTTTTGATTTTGCCCAACAGTGAATGTTATCTGTCATTGAAAGATGTTGTACGGAAGAAAATGCACAAAATATATCGATTATCAAATAATTCTATCATTTTCATTTTCTATATAACACTGAAAGAAACTGCTGACAAAATCCACTCAAAAACGGATGATCCATCACAATACAACCGGAGCTAAACGTATCGAATTTACCGGATAAGAAGTAATAGCTCTAAGCCGATTCAATGGTATCGGAATTCCATTTGAATCCACAATTTTCCAACCTTGCGGTAAACCAGCTATCTGTAAAGTTTGCATAATGTTATATTTTTATTTTCAGAACTCAGCAAATTGAAAATACGATTTTTATTCCGACACTTTTCACGAATATTATTCGGGATAATAAGAATATAACATTTTTTTAAAGAAATTTCTTTCTAATTATTACATAAATGCTGAAAATAGTCACCGATGGGTAATCACCAAATTGATTGATATGATCAAATAAAGCGACCACTGCTAATTTTGATGAATTCTGAAACCTAATTTTTGCGTGATTCGAATTAGCATAAATACATGCAGTGTTTTATTGAATGAAAAAATAATTTGGTTCGTTCATTGATTTACTATTTGTTTGTATTATCAATATTATTTTCACATCATACGATTTTCAAAATGTTAATTCTGAAAGAAAGATTTTATAAAAATGTAAATTTTATTTGAAAAAAAGTAAAATTTGATTTTAAAAAGGCAAGGTTGCTTTGAAAAAAAAAGCAAAATTTAATGCCATAAGTTTTATTGCAATTGTAAGATAAATAAGATAGTTTATAGTTCCTGTTCAAATGAACCACATGATGGTTGTCCCAAGATGCCACATGGAGATTCTCGGTAGTATATTTTGGAATTATCCTCGAAGCATTGATGAGCGATGAAATCATCAATATATGTTTCACCGATAATCATTGGTCGATCTTTTCTTGTACGACAACCTGAAAGGTTTGCTTTGATAAAAAAGAAAACAGTGTTAGTAATACTTAGATTTAAAATTTTTCTTGTCTTGAAATTGTAATTTTTTGACTCTTTTTATCTGAATTTAATTAGCTATCTGAAATTAGTTCTGCAAATTACTGAAAAAAAATACAGTAATCGGAAATCCAGAAAAAACGATTTCTCATATAATGCATCATATCATCTATTTTTTCATCGGCAAATGAATTTAACGTTTTTTGGAGGCATTTTTCCAATGTTAATTGTGCAAATTTTATTTAAATTTCTGGAAAATATTTGAGAAAATTCTTGATCCGATTAAATTATGATTACAACACGTTGAAATGCTTACCGAGTATGGTGTAAGCACCGAATTTCATACACTTATATAAAAGATGTCCTCTATACCAGCTTTCACCCTAAAATTTGAGTTTTAAGAATCAATAGAGAATAACGAAAACAAATATACTGAAATTTTTTAAAAGAATTTTAAATTTGCGAAAAAATTTATCGGATTTTATTTTATGAAAATTTCAACTCATACTCTCTTACTTCTTTGTATGTTTTTCCATTTTGTTGACAATTAATAGCTGATGGAATCATTTGATTGGCTTGAAGAATAATCATTGGTGCATTGCCGGAAGAAGTTAACCAAGCAGTTACATTATGTGAGGTTCTCGTCAAACTAACACATTCTATCGTATATAATAGTGTTGCAAATATACAGATCCGTAACATGCTGAAGTTTAAATGCAAATTTCAAAAAGAGAGAGACAAAAAAATTACAAATAAGATTCAATTAATTGGAACAATTAAGAAGGATTCATAAAAGTCATGAACCAATTATTATAAAAGGATTTTCATTGACATCAACTGATAAATAGATTTAATTAACTGAATAGTTTAATATGATTTGAAAAATCTTGTTGATATGAAGATTTTTGCAAAAAAATTTAGCAATGATTCTAAAAAACAATGATTACGGTAAAATTGTGAGACCCGGCAATTATTACTTAATATTTCAATTTCTGGATGATAAATTTCATCATCAGCACTAAAAAATTTAATATAGCTTATTTTTTCAAGCATATATTCTGTTACAGATTTTGTAATAATCCATTCAACATTTTATTGTTTAAATTTATTAGAATTTCAATGAATATAAAAATATGCAATAAAATTAAAAATTGTGGAAGTAAATAAAAAAGGGAATTTTTTCCTCTTAATTTTGAAAGATAACAAAATTTTGGTTATGGTAATTATACGATTTTATCATAGTGTGTTATCTGAAAGTGAAATTAGAAAGAAAAGAGAGGAAAGTAAAGAGAAAAAAATAAACAAATCTTTATTTTCCTTTTTTTTCAAAAATGTGTGTTACCGTCTTGCAAACACGTTCTTTGAACCAATACATCTTCCTGTTTTAATTACGGCACTCGCTTTTTTACAGGTTTACATAAATCATGAAATTAGAAAGCATGAAATTAGTGATAGCACTGCTTTAAAGCACTCTTAACAAACCAACACATACTCGCTTGCCCTTTTTTTTGAAAAAAAGGAAGTATTTTAGATTGAATAATGAGTGTTTAACCTTTTTTGTCGAATCGTCGAAATTATTTATTTAAGTTAAATTTATAAAATCGAATTCACTAAATGATTTTACGCTTAACATTCAAAATAATTATAATAAATTAATGCAAGCATCAATCATCTGTTGAAAATTTAGTTTTTGAAATTCATATTTATGGGGTAATAATTTATATTTATATGAAAATAATCTGATAGAAAAAGATAAAATTTCTACTTACTCAAATTTTTATTTTCATTCTTTTTTGTAAAACAAATCTCGAAAATAGTGATATCTTATGATTGTTTCCAATATAAAACTCCTGGAATTTTTATATGAACGAGATTGAAAAGAGCATATTGAAAAGAGTTGGAAATACGTGAAATAAATGCAGGAAACGGAGAAAATGTGAAATTGAATGAATTGGAAAACGGAATTAGTGGTTAATTAAAATTTGTCAAAATTTTGAAGATACAATTTCAGATACTTTTACTTTCATGTACAGTTTTCTTTTTTTTTGCTCAAATGATTTAATATTATTTACCATCCATCATCTTTTTTCTTAAACTTCAAAATTGGTTTAGTTCTTTTGGTTATTACTCTAACTTGTTTTAAACAGTAAAAACAGTAACGATAATGTAACTGTACAAATTAACATAAAAATTAAAGATTACAGATTATATTTCTTCATTATTCTGACGTTTGAAATATATTTACGAATTAACTTATAATCGAAACAGCTACTATTTTTCTTGAATTGTTTCTTGGACAATTTCGTGTTCATCTCTTTGTTAATATAATAGCGTAAAAATTATTGTAGCGTTGAATACGGTAAATTGCTTAGAAACATCGAAAAGATTGTCGAAATATTGTAATAAGATAATGTTTGATAAGTCGAATAACCGATAGTGAAATCAGAATTAGCTATCATCTATTGCTCTTTTATCATAATAGGATTCAGATCATGATCGAATTAGATTCTGATTTGAAATCAAGTGACTAAATAATTCTGATAATTCATATGAGAGTTTCTTCCAGCTTATCGTTTATAATGATTTATAATCGTTTCTTGTTTCTTTAATTGAGATATAACAAAGATTTACGATTTCTGTTTTCATCCAAAAACATGTTTTCATCCAAAAATTCGTCCAAAAACAAACAACTGATTTCGGGAATTTGATAATTAAACTTATAGATACCGTTAAAATTTAAGTTTCAATTGTCAACAATTTGCAAAGAATGCAAGACAATTTGTTGCATTGACGGTACTTCGGTTGTGGAAAAACCAATATGGGTGCATCATCGAGATCAACGGCAAGGTGGACTGCTTCTTTCATCCTTTAGATTTCGAGATAGGTTGTATTGTTTAATGGATGGTAAAAATTTGAAATGGATATCGTTGATTGTATTAATCTTTCAAACGACATTTCTTGTGCTAATATTACATTATTCACGTGTTCAGAAAATCGATGGACCAAGGTTTGATTTAAGTCATGTGGAAATTTCAAGTTTTAGTTAATTCAGAAGTTATCGTGATTTTTCAGATTCATTTATTGGATATAATTTGTGTAATTAATTGATGTTGTGCATTTATATTTTCATCAACTAAGATAACATCTGGCCGTATTTTAAACATTCGTATGGTTGACGCAATTCCATTTATCTGAATCACATTTGAAATTCGGCAAGATGTTTTTTGAATTGCACGAATCATGTCCGTGATATGATCAAAATTACTGTAAGCTAGCTTAGAAATAATTCATTGTCCTTCATGTTATCAAGCAGCTAATAACTTCACCATCATCTCTGATTGTGCAAATGCAAGCATGTGTTTATTAGTGAAAACCTGAAGTCAAGAATTTATCGTGTACTTCAACCAAATTTATTAGATTGAGTATTATATTAAGGGATATTTTTATTGCACTCTCAAGAAACTGGCAAAGAATTCAAAAACTTTATTTTGAAATAATTAGGATTTTTATGAGATGTAGCAGTTGAATATACAATAGTTAAGAAATTAAGATAAATTATTTACTTGTTTCACTTCAGGTATTTATCATCGACAGCAGTGGTCATCGCGGAAATAATTAAGCTGCTTACATGCATCGTCTTCATTGCATATCAGCACTGTATGCATATTTTTTATAATACATATAAATATACTAAACGAAAATGATATGGGAATCGGTTGTTATCCTTTGACTAAAATTTAAATGGTTTAAAATAATGTCCTTTCCTTCGGTTAAGTGTACTTATTGAATTGTCCCTATATGTATTAAATTTTCCAAAGCTTCAGAATCACCTATTTTTATTTTGAATTTGAACAATATATTTAAATCAGTAAAAAAGATGACTGAATAAATTATTTCATAAAATGTACAATTTATTTTTTTCGTCAATTTAAAAAGAAGATAACATTACTTTTAGCCTGGGAATATGTGGAATTTATGAATGAACTTTACACAGAATGCTATATCAAGTCAAAGGATACCTTGAAAATGGCTGTTCCAGCATTTTTGTACGTCGTGCAAAACAATCTTCTTTTTATCGCTTTATCGAAACTTGATGCAGCTACTTATCAGGTAGTCAGGTTGATAATGAATTAGCAAGTGAAATGAATATTTGAGTTGGTTTATCAAATTAGATGAGCTTTGCTTGGTCTTAGGTTTTATATCATAATGAAATTCAATTTGCATTTACAATCGTATCAACTTAATTGTTGCATTTATTTTATCGAATTAATTTTCAAGGTAACTTATCAATTTAAAATCCTCACGACAGCAATATTTTCCGTAACATTGTTAGGGAGGAAATTGAACAGTCAAAAATGGATATCACTATTGTTGCTGACAGTTGGAGTCGCTCTAGTGCAAGTATGTTTTTTACAAAGTGTTTTACTTTTTAAAGTTTATCCTAATTTTACATAAATCTTAGGATATAGGTAAAACTCTTTTTAGTGCTATTATTTGTAATAGTAGTTTTTATTATAATACACCTAGATTGGATTCGAAGCGTCGCTGATTTATACATCACCAAAAGAAAGATCCATATAATTGTTTGAGAAATAATGATTAGTGTCTAGGAAAGTAGATAAATTATTAGAAATTTGAAATCTTTTCTAATAATTTTGTTGAGGAGACCAAACGATTTGGTTTTCATTTTTCCTTTTTCCTTTCTCCATTGCTAATAGCATATTCCACAAAAATGGTCAATTTTTAGTTACCCACGGATTTGAATAAAGTGACATCATCAACAGCAAAATCTTTTCTATCAACAGATGCGGATAAGATGGTCGGATTGTTCACTGTCATTGCGGCATGTTTTTTGAGCGGTTTTGCAGGTGTCTATTTAGAGAAAGTATTGAAAAGTTCGACATCACTTTGGATGCGAAATTTACAACTTGGTAGACTCTTAAATTTTCATTATGGATTTAATTTAAAATTGGGATTTAAATTATAAATTGAATTTTAAATAAGATTTTTTAATAGCATTAGCCAATATCAATACTAAAATTAGCCTAATTTCGATTATAAAATTGTATTATGTTCCAAGGATTTGCATATTTCTAGAAAAACAAGTTGCTCAGTTCAAAAAAAGTTATTTCGAGAATTTTAGAACTTTTTTAGAGAAAATAATTGTTTTTACATATTATTAATATTCTGTCATTTATGGTATAAAACATATTTTCGACTTTTACAGCATTCTTCAGCATTATTGGTGGATTTTTTATGGTCTGGTTTTACGATTCTGAGCAAGTAAATGAATATGGTTTTTTCCAAGGATATAACAGCATAATTTGGATTGTTGTTTTGCTCCAGGTTTGTATACTTTCTGCTTTTGGATTTTATTTGTTGAAAGAGATGTGATCTCTTGATCTTTTGATATTTGGTATCAGAAATTTTTTAAATGTTTATAACGGCGTTGAAAATCCAGAAAAGTTTCCGCAATAGAACATTTTTTGACATTGAAACAACAAAACTTAGGCAGAGTTTTTATTTGATACGAGACATGATTAATTCTTAGCTCTATGTAGTATAGATATCTGATAATAATAGATGGCTAATAATATTTTATCCGTTATCATTATTCTCACTTTAGGTAAAAGATTTGATATATTTAATATTTGTCCCTATGAACATCAAGTTTTAATTTGAATGAAAGAATTAAGAATTGATAGTGAATTTTCCCTTACTCACATTCTATGGTAAAGTTTTCTGCTACAGGTTGTGATGTGTAGTAATTTTAACCATATAAGATAAATCAAGAAAACGCATTATTACTAATTTCCTATTGAAGTCATATCCAGCAGATTCTAAGTTGTTCCATTTTTTGATCGTAAATGAAGTTTTTTTAAAATTATGTCCTTTATTTTCTAAGCCTTTTTGAATTGTTATTTTCAGGCTTACGGAGGGTTTATTGTGGCTTTGGTAGTAAAATATGCTGATAACATACTGAAGGGTTTTGCTGCATCGTTTTCAATCATACTATCCAGCTTAATGTCCTACTGGTTGCTGGATGATTTCCAACCATCATTGTAAGTTTTTTTATTTCTTGGTGTTTTCGAAAGTCGGACGTTTAAATTCTTTACAATGATTATGCAGTGTCGAGTTCGGAGGTGTTAGACACGAGATATAGTAAAGATGACAGTGAGAAATATGGAATCCATATAAATGAAATCAGATTTATCTTCTTCAAAGTCTTTGTGCATGTGAGCTAGAACTTTTTGTTGCAAAAAAATTATTAAATTTCTAGTTTTCTGATTTATTGAAACTTCGTATTTTCCTAATATTTTATCGATTTTTTGGCTTGATTTTAATATATCTAATTTTTTGCTTTTTTTGAAGGATTTTTGCTTTTGGTGCAGCGGTTGTCATTTTAGCGTCATTTTTTTATGGATATGAATCAAAACAAATACCCAAATTAGTACAATCAGAAAATTGAAAATTAAACCGAAGTTATGAACATTGTATAAAATCGGGGAGCGAATGCATACATGTATAGAAGTGCCTTAATTTCCTTACTCGCAAGTTTTCTTAGGATGGAATTTATTTTTTACCATTTAGGCTTTCTTAATCTGAATTCATTGTTTCCGTTGGTGTTGATATCAGTAGTTGTAGTAACCATTTCTTCATAATTTTTGAGGTGCATTTTTGGTGTGGTTCTATATTCTTGAATATACTTTAAATCGAATTCATTTGTTTCTGTTAAATTATTCATGTTTCTTAAATTGATAGTTTTTAATTAATAGATTAATTAAGTAGATAAAGAAATGCTTTTCAGGATGATTTGAAGTTATAGGAAAATTAGTTTGTCCTCTGAGGTACTTAATCAGTTTGCTTTTACATCTCACTCGTTACTCTTTCGGTTCTGCTAGCTAGTATTTTCTTGAGAAATGTGAAGTAGCATAAGATGCCGACAAACTAATTTAATTATTGCACTAGGAAATCAATTCTTATTTCTCACCGGAATATTTATATCTTTTGTTACTGATTGTAGTTTTTTTCTTTTCTCCTACTATTGTACTATATTTTACGCCATAATAATTTTATAGATAATATTATTGTGATATCTGTAATTTATTATCAAGTATCAGTATGTCGATTGATTATCTAGTAATTTATTTTATGTAATACATGCTTCATTACACATATATGTTTGTTATACTATATTTCGTAGTTTGTAAAATCTGAATGATGCATATAGCTCTATCTGTTGTGATGTAAACTTGGAAATTACCGTTTTTCCAACTGCTCTATATTATATTACATTCCTTCTATGTATAATTGAATCATGCCATAATCGAAGAATGTAGAGACAGTAGGCATTTAACTTTATTAGTACCTCCTTTTTGTTTTAAATTCTTTGTTTTTCATGATTTTCATTCGTAGCCTCTGACTAGTACATAGATTAAAATAAAAGATGAAGTAACTAACATTCTGAGTCCACTTCGAAGGGCTGTTTAATCGGCCATGTTGGATACATAATTTTGTCCCTAGTAGAAAGCAGCCGCAAACACGTATTTAGTCTGAACGGTTTTTCTGGTTGTAATCATTAAATGAAAAATTAAATTTCTGTATATCTGTTTTCTATATTTAATTTGATTTTTATTCAAAGAAAAAAAAATTTTTTTAGATAGTCCTTTTTGCAGAATCGTAAAAGTAAATTCAGCACTGCATAAATTTCACAATTTAATTAATCCAAGATAGAAATATGGCGAACGTCTATTTATCTGAACATTTTATAATCCTGACATTCAGCAAGTAATGAAATGATATCGTAGTTTACGTAACAGATGAAAATGAAAATTAAATAGTTATATATTTGCTATTTAATTTAAGAATATTCGATGAATTAAAATGGTAATTTGAAGTTTTATAGGATTCTACAAGTTTTGCTATCCATAGTCAATACTGGTAATGATTTTTTTCTTTTTATCATCACGTAGTCATTTCGAATCTGCAAAAATTGTTCATTAAAATTTTGCGCGGTGTGAATTTTAAACTGAAAAATAAAATTTTTGTTTTATGTGAAAAAAAAACAAAAAAATTCAAACAAATAAAACTGTTGAAATATAAATTTATAGTTATAGAAAATTAACCGTGGGCTTTTTTTTCATTGCTTTCCTGCATAGGAAATTATTAAATTTAATTCATTTCAAAACTCTCACCTATTAGCAACAGTTTTTTTTTTTACTTTTTTCTTAAACTAACAATTAAATATGACGAAGTGATGAAATTTAGCTCAATTTTTAATAGAATTTTTAGTAGATGATGGAATAAATGCATCATTAAAACTAAAAAACATTCAATTGTATTTTGAAATTAAAAACAAGAAATGAGAATAGATTATATTCGCCATATGAATTAATACTCTGTAATTAACACATTATGCCAAAAGAGAGAAGTACAAACACGATTACGCTCTCGTCGATCGTAATCCTGTTGTGCTTGATGAAGTACAATACGATATGTTCCAATTGCAGCATTTCGAATTCCTTTTAATGAACCATCTCTAATAATTGCTTCAGTGATACCATAAAACCGTAATTTATTACGTACTTGAAGCGCTAATGGATTCTCGATCAATTCTTTTTCATTCGGTATCATACTAAATTGTATATACCGTTTGGTAAATTTGCAATCCTTCAGAAAACTACAATTCTGAAAATCTCGAGAAGTTTTTTGTTTTCAAGAATTTTGTTGCATAACAAGTTTAAGTAATAATTCATATAAATGAATATTGATAAGCAAATGAAATAAGGAATAATTGCATTTATAGTTTTATCTTTTCTCAATTTCATCTATACAATTTATTAATGCAAATTATCATTATCACATTTAAACGAATGTTACAAATTTAGAGTGAAAATTGGAAAAATAGGATTGGTATATGTAATGCAAATACAAGTAAAATAAAACAAAAAAATTGTGGTAAAATTGAGTAAGAAACCAAAATAAGCTAAGGAAACAACAAATGAAAAATAAGTTTAATTTAATTATACAAGTTTAGTAAATAAATTATCAAATAATAACTCAAGTAAATAATTAAAATAATACCTTTATATCATCGATGGTACTCCGTTTCTTGGGATCAATAACAAGCATTTGACTGATTGCGCGCTGCGCTGATATACTCAGATAATTAGGTAATGGATAAGCACCTCGTAAAATGCACTGTTTTAAATTATTAATTGTTTCACCACTAAATGGTGTCCTACCAACAAGTATAAAATATAGCAATACACCAATTGCCCAAATATCTGCATTTGCACCTTAAAATTTTCCACTTTTTTTCCTTTTTTTCTTAAATGAAACTAATTAAAATAAACATTTCATCATTTTGAGATAAACTAATCAAAATTAAAAGTGATATGTTACTGCATCTTGTAGATAAACGTAAAATAAATATAAATTAGAAATTAAGATAAAATTAATGGAAAAAAAAACAGATAAAAGAAAAGATAATTTTGCCTTTTTCTTTTTTCATAATTTAATATTAATAGAGTTGAATATGAAATTTTAGAATAATCAATAGCAAAAACAAATAAATTTCTGTCAAAATATGAATCTTTTTAAAAAAGAAAAAAAAATTATAATACAATTTGTAAACTATACATAATTATACAAAATATTGATTGATTTATATTAATTTTTCATAGGAATAAAAGGATTTTTAATAAGAAGAAATTAACCATAATATTCATCATTTCTGAGAAGTTCAGGTGCAGCATATGCTGGTGAACCACAAAATGTTGTTAGCCTATCGTTTGGATTCACTTGGCATGCAAAACCAAAATCGGCTAATTTAATCCAATCTGGCGCTGATAGTAGCACATTTTCTGCCTTTATATCACGATGAATGATATTTTTGGAATGCTACAAGAAAAAATTATTTATCCATTTTTTTCATATTTAATAATTACTGAAAAGAAAAAGATCGAACTAATAAATTATTGCTTAAGTCAAACCGTTTAATTTTTAATTTAGAAGAGTTTTTTCAATGCTAAGTTTTGATTTTATGCATATAAAACGAACTATATATGAAATGGCGGAAACAATTTGAGCAAAAATTGGCTTGCAGTGATTTTCCGAAAGTTTTCCTCGATGATGAATATAAGAATAAAGTTCACCAAAACCAGCATATTCCATCACGAGATATATTCGTGAAGTTGTTTCCACGCACTATGATTGAAATGATACAAAAAAATGAAACGAAATTAAATAATCTTTCAATATTTTGTCGTTATTTAATAACTCATTCTTATCTTTTTTTTTCGACTTTATTTGGATCATCAAAAGCAAAATGATCAGTAATATGTCAAAAGGTTAATGATTGAATTGATCATAATATCGTCATTGCCTTACAAAATCTTCGAAGTGAATTGAATGTAAATCAAAAGTGACAATCAATTTTACTATTGTATGGTGAATTTAACGAATTAGATTGGAAAGCTGAAAATCATCGATTCTTCCAAATAATCAATCAAGTATTTCCTCTTTGCTTTTTTACTTTTTTCTTGCTTTTCTACTCTTTTTTTTAATTTTTTTATTCGTTTTTCTTGTTTTTTTGCTTTTTTCCAGAGCTTACCTCAAAAAGACGAATGATATTCGGATGATGAAGTTGTTCCATTGATTTTATTTCATGTTCCAGTAATTTTTCTTTCATCTTAGATTTATCCATAACTTTCATTGCTACTTTTTCTATAATTTAATATTGTTGCCATCGTGATTTTATTTCCTCTCATGATTGTAATGACCATTATTACAATAATAATAATTGTTATTATTATTTCTTTCTTTATTTCACAATTTGTTTCAAAATTTCTATGAGTCAGTACAAAATTTCATTAACACATAATTTTAAACATTTGGAATGTTTACAAACCATTTGTCAAACAATGTATGCCAAGATTAACTTTTGAAAAATTTCCCGAGCCAATTTCTTCACAAATACTATAAAAACCTATCCGTTTACCAAGTGCTATTTCCTGAACAAATAATTAATAATAATTTTTGATAATTTTTTTGTCCTAAATTGTTAATTTCATTTAAAAAATTATTACATTCATAAAGATAAGAATTTTTCTTTGAATAGACTTAATTTCAGTTAAAAATGTTCTTTTGAAAGAATTCACTGATAAGACGACTATCCATTGATTTCGATAAAAACTTTTTAAAATTTCTTTAAATCTATACCTTTTGCATTGCTGGATCGTTGATAAGACTATCAAGCATTGATTCATAGGGTTTTTTCACTGATGAACCCTGTGATAACACTGATAACAATGGTTGAATATTTGAACTCTTACGTGTTATTGACTCTTCATTTTCCGTTTTCATTTCACTAATTTTGTTTTAAAGGTTAGTCATAATCGTTATCATAATTATGTAAATTAATAACCACATAGAAACTTGGGTGAACAATAATATTTGAGTATGTGAATGAATTTAAATTTTGACTAAAAAGTACTTTATAATACGATAATTATGGCAATTGTATTTGATAATATTCTAATTGATATAAATACCGTCAAATGCACTCTCAGAAATAAAAATGATGAATTTTTTTTTAAAAGAAATTTAATATTTCTTCAGCATTATAATTTATTAACTTGGTTTAGAAGATTTAACAAAAAAAAAATGAAAAAAAATTTTAATCGCCAAAGTTCAAAAAAAATTTTAATGTTAATAAGTGATTTGTTTACATGGATAAAAAGGAAGAAAATTTTTCATAATAAATATATCAGATTTTTGTTAATAAGTTTCGATTTCCGATAAAAATTATTTGTATTAAATCAAAAGAAAATAAACTAGAAAAGTTTTTACAGATGTAAATTTAAGTCTTAAAGATTAATTTGCACAATGTTTAATTATTGCTTTAATCTATCCTCAATCTATCCGTATTATTTGATAATGCGCAAAGTTTTTAGTATTAAATTTTCTGAAGTTTTTTTTATTTATTAAGCTAAAGGCAATAGGAATTGATCAATAATAAGTTTACAATTGATATAACTTCAAATAAGATATCATTTATAAATTTAGATGAAGTAAAATTATTATTGGTAATTGTCTAATTCTATATAGCACATTTGATAATTTATGATTGATTAGATTATTCATTTTATCAATCAATTGATTAATCGGCTTGGGGCGCAATGTAGGTGAACATATCGATCCTTCGGTTAATTAATTCATCAGCATTGTTCGTTAACGAATAAACTGTTTACATGACCCTCTTAGAAAAATTAAAAATTTAATAAAAGTATTTGATGCAACTGTAATTAAATATTTTTTTCAGCACTTTTAAAGCATTTAACTGATTATTAGCATTAATATCTGAAAGTTAAAAAAATTATAAAATTTTTGGTCCGATAGGAATGATAAGTTATGATAAGCGAATAATTGGCAAAAAATAGGAAGTTAGATGAAATTGGTAAAATAAATAAATTGTTTTCAGTATCAACAAATATGAGAAGTAATGAATAGATTAAGGAAGTAAATGAATGACTGATTAGATAGCGAGCAGCTGAAAGTAAATAAGCAATTGTGCAATTAATTAATGTAAAAATTACGCAAGCTGATAAATGAATGAGTAATTAACTGATATAAATAGATGAAGATGGGAGCCGAAAATCGTCATAAAGTATTAGAAATGAATATTGAAAATCAAATAGTTCAATGTCGAAATTAATATTTATAAATACATGATTAAAAAAACGCTTCACACATATGAGTACAGAAAATAATATCTGCTGATATCTGCTGATGAATATTGAAGCGATTAATTTTAATCGTTTAGTTATTTTACACAAAATAAAAGGAAAAAATTCAAAATATTATGAATAAGTTAATATAAAAAGCAATAGTCATATTACAAAATATTCATAAAATGGAATAAAGTTGCTCACGAAATTTTTTTTTTGTTAATCTAAAATACAGATTAATGATCTCTTTTAAAAAAATGCTTCAACTACAGCATATTAAATGTAAAATATATGCTATTCATTAAATAAATTAAAAGTTACCATACATTTTCAAAAAATAAATTAAAAGTTATCATATATTTTCACTTTTTTAAATCCTTTTTCATTTACTTCCGAAAAGGAACTTTTTATTATATTTCTTGAAATGTACAAAAATCATACTTTTTATTATTATTTTTTGCGTTTTTTTTTACTTAATATCGAGCATATAAAGAAAGTATAACAAATAAATAATGATTCCGGTTAAATATTGCAAAAGAGAATCATTTGAGATTTCCATCTCATTGATGTTTTGCTTTCCTTTTTCCAATATATTCATCTCTTTTTTTCCATTCTCGCAAAAATGATAATTTTTAATTTTAATTTATTCCATACATATCCATTAAATTATTACAGCTTTCAGCTGCATTTCCTTTCCTAGATATTTGCCAGAATTAAATGAGGAAAAGAAAAACTTGTAACTAAAAAGAAGAAAAAAGATGTAACAGACATAAGTAACTTTCGGAAGATTTAATATAACCAATCATATATTAAATAAATTATTACTGCAATAATTATTAATTAATTGATTTGTTATGTATGCGAAGTGAGGAGATAATTAGCTGTATCATTCTCATTTTTTTTTAAATAACTAAGATAAATTCACAGTAATAAAATGGGTTTGCAGTAATTAAAAGTTAAAAAGTATAATTCGAAAAAAATCACTCAAAATTTAACATTATGTGATTGATGGAATTATGGAGAGATATGTGATATTTCATTGCTTTCTTCATTTTACAAGTTTTTGTTCGATGAAAGCGCTGTAATTGATTTAAATTTAATTTAATATAAGAAATATTTTCATGTTTAGTTGCTATTGTTGAATAAAATGTAAAAGTCGCTATTAAATTAGAATAAAATTTTACAGGAAATGTACGGAGCGTATTCATTTAAAGTATAATTTGGCAAAGTTAATATTGTTATTCGTTTCTTTTGTGCCTGCAAATGATAATTTGATTGTTTCATTTGTAAAATAATAAATATTATCAAAATATCAAACATTAAAGAACATAAACGTCAAAGAACACACAATAAAATGCCTGCTAACAACTGCAAATTTTACATTTGCAGTTGTTAACGTTTTGATTTTGTTATCATTTTGATTTGCAATTATTATTTTGATATGAAATTAAAAGTTTTGCTAAATGTCCTTTATCAATTTATTGTCATCTGATAAAACAAATTTTAGCATTTAACTTACTGCGCAAATTTTTTGAAATGCAATAAAATAGACATTAAAGTACCAAAAACAGTAACTATTTTTTTTATTAAATTTTTTTATCATGAAAATTTTCATTAAATACTATGAATATTCGACCGTGAGAATGTCTCTACTGTCCTATGAATTATTGATCGGATAAAAAACGATCAGAATCCACAAAGAAAGTATAGTTCTGTGCAGTTAATAGTTTATTTTTTCATCTTCCAGAATTTTCAATGCATCAAATAAGCGAATTATTTTGTAAAAATTACTTCAGATGAAGGAGTCAGAAAAGTAGCGGAGTATTTACTATTGATTTGATGAAATTTCAAAACTTGAACAGATACCCTTAAAGTAAAAAATTAGTTTATTATCAATTCTTATTAATTATTAAAGAATAATAAGAATTATTGTTTCATACATCAGAAAGTTAATGTATTCACAATCGGTAGTTTTGAAATTAAAAAAAAGTTGGCATCTAAGCTAGCACATAATATTCTAAATTTTAATTCTGAAAGCAAAATTTTTGTTTCACATAAAACTGTTTTCATTTTACAATAATTAACACTGAAAGAGGGAATTCAAAATCAATTCATTTTTCATTACCGAATTTGAATTCAAACCTTTAGTATTCTCAATGACGAAAGGAGAAGTAAAATTTATTGCACAAAATCATTTGAAATTATTCGATTTTATCATAGCATTATGAAATTTTCAACTTTTTTAAAATCTCTCTGGATCAAAGCCAAAAGAACACCAATGTTTGGCAATGAATTTTTGTTATAAAAAATGTATTAATGGATAAAAAAGCTAAAATAACACCAATTTTTGGCAATGAATTTTTGTTATGAAAAATGTATTAATGGATAAAAAGCTAAACAAAAGCTGTTTGTTTTTAAATTACCATGCAAACGCTTCATACTAGAGGAAAGTGCAAACAAAATTCAGTCTTTTAAAATGAATGTTGCTCACAGCATTGTCAAATTTTTGCCAACTTTTAATGAACATTTTGTAAAACTTCTCACTATGCTACAGAAATTACCCTTTCTAAATTATAAGTTTTGACGTATTTTTCATATCATTTCCATCCTTTACTGAAAATTATTATCATTTTATATTAAATATCATTTCATATGGCCACCATTTACATAATTGTTAACATAATTCTATCATTTGTTTGACAATATTTTATAATAATATTGTTGAATCTGTTTTTTACAGTTAAATTTCATACTTATTGTCTAATACTACTAAATATCACGAATCGAACTAATGATTAAAGCTGTAAGGATCAAAGTCTGAATGATAGAATTTTCCTGCATATGAAATGCATTTATGTTAATCAAGTCATGTTTCTTAAATAGATACGATGAAATTGATTATCAAAATCAATTTTATATCATCTATAAATCACATTTCCGTCCAATATTGTGATTAATCAAAAAATGATTAACATAGCTATATATTAATAAATATTACTTTAGCGCTGCTCGATCAAATGGTCCAATCATTTCTGCAACTTTTGACCACTGCTTGGCTTGTTGCAATTAATGCTGGCCAATGGGATCAATTTAATGTTTGCCATTTAAAAAAAAAAACAAAATAACCAAATAATTATTTATTACTGCGTTTTTTTTGATTTAAAATTACAATAATTATTGAATATTTCTTTTAAAATATCAAATAAAAACAAATTTTTTGTTTTCTAGCATTCACTAATATTAAGAAGAGTGTACAAAAATAAATTTTCTTACCTTTCACACAGTCTAAATTTGAACTTACTATATAATCAACTTTTAATGTCTAATTGTGTACTTTAAAATATTGAATTAAAAAGAAAATATATAAGGTCATCTGGAATATCCCAAGCGAACAATGTAAGCGGTATTGGACTCCAATGGAATTTCCACAAACATATGGTATTCTTGCGAATAATGAATATAAATTTCAAGGGAACATTATCGTTGTTTTATATGAGAAAAAATTTGGCTTATATCCATATTATAAAAATTTTTCTGATCCAACATCAGCTGTTAATGGTGGTATTCCTCAGGTGAATTAATCATTCAATTACAATCCTACTAAATTTTACACTGATAATAATAATGAGACTTAAGAGGGTTATCAATTGAAATGATATCAAAGAGATGCTAATTTTTGCATTCATTTATTAAATCTGCCTAAATTAGCAAGCAATTTCATGGACTCAAAATACTTAACTTATTTCATCACACCTACAACGGTAATCATCAAAAGGACAACATAAAATAGTGAATGTAAAACGGTTGAAGGTTACTATGGTGAGGTGACTGAATCATTTTTCCATGACTATCTACTCAAAGCAAAGAAGCGATATTTATACGTCATTTCATACTAATTAAATTCTAATTGAAAGAAGGGGTTAAAATTGTTAGATGGTAAATTGAAAAGAACACAGTTGAATTAATTAGTTTTCATGAATCACTTTTGATTATGGTTTCTTTGAGCATTTGAATCTTATTTAGCTATACTAAGACTGTATGCTAGCAAATGTAATATATTTGTGTTATTTTAATGTTTTCTATCTAATTCACTATTAAAATTAAGTCTTTTGTTCATCTTAATTTCAATTCATTTCAACTTTTGCTTATTTTGCTTCTTTTTTTGAACTCATTTTTATTTTACAGCGTGCCAACCTCACAGCTCATTTAGCAAAACTTCGCGATGATATCGAAAAAGCGATACCGAATGAGGGATTTAATGGTTTGGCTGTAATTGATTACGAGAAATGGCGACCTCTTTGGGAACATAATTGGTATACAAAACGAATTTATCGGCGGGAATCGATAGCTTATGTTATGGAACGATATCCAAATAAAAATAAAACTGATGCTAAATTGACTGCTATGAATGAATTCAATCAAGCATCATTGTAAGCAAATTATTAAATAACTCTGGATTTAATCTAAAAAACTCATTGTAAACATTTCAATCTATCACATCTCTCTTCAGTGAATGATTCAAGTTTGGAGAAAAATCACATTTCAGGGAATTTTTAATCAAAACTATTCGTGAAGCAAAAAAAATTAGACCATTTGCGTTATGGGGATATTATGGAATGCCATTTTGTAATTATTCTGCAGGGAGAAATGGTACCATAGCATGTGGTGAAGTGTTTGAAAGATTTAATGATCGGTTAGCAAATATTCACTTTCTTTTTATTAATTAAGAATAGCTATATGAAAAATTTGATGGAGGAAATGCATGTAAAAATATAAAATTACTTATATTTTGGTATATTATTCATTTCATTTCATTTATGACTGCCTACTTTAATTCACCCTTCTAAAATATATTGTCTAAATTTCTATTAAAAAAATGAATTTAAAAAAAAGTGAAATGAAAAATTTTTTTTTAAATTATACAGACTACTACCTCTGTACAACGAATCTACCGCTCTTTATCCTTCTATTTATTTACCCAAAAGAGAAATGAATCTGATTGGTTGCCTTTACGTCATTTCCGTTCTTAAAGAAGCTAAACGTATCGCAGATGAACTGCAACTACCGATATATGCATTTACTGGTATTGAGTACTTTCCATTGATAAATGATCCGTATTACACTCAAGTAAATTAATTCAAATATTAATTTTCTTTTTTTTCGACAAATTTATCAAAATTTAAATTAAATTTTACAAATTTTCATGTTTAATATCTGATTTTGCATTCTATTTCTGTTGTTTCTATTGTAATATCTCAAATTTGTACATTCAATAAAATTTCCATATATAATGAAATTTGCAGCAAGATTTACGGAATTCACTAAGGCGAGCTTCAGCGATGGGTGTTGACGGTGTAATTATTTGGTCAACGTCTAAAAACATGGCAAAACGATGTGTTGCTATCGGGAATTATATTCGCTACCAGCTCGGTCCAGAAGTTCTTCAATTGAAAGAATTTACGAAAATTTGTAGTGAGACTAACAGGTTAAATTAAATTATTTCCCGAACAACTATTTCGAAATATCAATTATAATGATTTTTAACTGAATTTCATCCTTTCATATTTTTTTAAATCTCACAACGCCATATAATTATCATATGATTGAAACGAAGAGGATGAAAACAACAGAAATCACTTTCAGGTATCCCGAGAATTGCAAATTTTTTCGTGAAATGAAAAATGGATTGAAAAATTATCACTGTTACCAGGAGGACTTGGACATTATTTTAATATAAAATACAGGAATGTTTATTAAATCATGAATTACAATGCGATTTTTACTATCCTAACATTTTGTTTGATGTTTTTTGTTCCAAATTTATTTGCTAATTTTGATATTCTGATATTTATTCATTCAATCATGGAAAATTGGTAACAGTCAAAATGAACTGATGGAACCGAATTTGCTGAATGTATTATTAATGAAAATAAATTCATAGTGATCAAAATTCCTAGTAATCAAAACAAAATATAACTATTAGATGTGTTGACAATAATCGAAACGAAGGTAATCAAAGTGAATTCAAATAGTTCACACTAAGGAATTTGATTGACAGTAATTGACGGTAATGAAAGTGAATTCATAATAATGAAAATGAATTTATATTAATCAAATCTTTTGAAAATATTTAATAATAAGATTACATATCGCAACGATAATTTTTTTATTTCTGAAATAACAAATATCATTATTCATAATTAATCCAATAATTTGCGTTTTAATGACTTTACATTTTTGAAAAAAAAAAATAGTTACATTGTTTAAACAGCTTTAAAAAAAGAGTGATCAATAAAACTCAATTTTAAATGCATTAGCATCACAAGAAGAATCCTTCTTCCCTTTCATTACTTGTAGAAATCGATAAAATACTGCAAATTTTTATTTATCCTTTTCACTTTAATTCCAATACAGCTTTTCCGCCCATTGTCGCTTGGAAATACATCAATTTTGTCAAATCAGTAATGCACTCTGATTTTGTCAGACTAGCATTAAATACATTCTGCTCCTTTTTAACCCTCCCATGCTATTGCTCGAATAATTCTTGCAAAATACTTCAACTATTTGATGCATGTGAAAATCTTCGAAAATAAATCTTATTTTCACTTTTTATCGAAACCCACGACCTAATTTCACTGCATCTCATTGTAGCCATGGTAGCACAGGCCGACTGCCGCTTTAGGTACACATTTTCTTTATTCTTTATTAATTTGCGACAATTGCACTAACAATTTATAAAAGATAGAAAAAACACAATACTTCTCAATCTTCAATAAAATAGGACGCATGATACCCATGATTAAAGTATCGTTTTACTATCATACATTTACTTTTTTTATAAATTAGCATCCTCGATGAAAAGTAAAAACTGAAATGTTTCCAAATCTGCAAAAAAACAATTTGCTTCAATTCAGGGAAATAATTTAAGTACGATAAATATGTGCAGACCAATGGTTCATGAAAACAAAGTCAAATACACACATAACAGTGGCGAAGATACAACCAGAAATTGGAATGCGGACACATCGCAGAACTAATCGTTGAAGAGAGAATATTTCAATAACAAATCACTACAGCATCCATCTAAATTTCAAAACATCATCAGGATTCCTCTGCAGTTATTCATGTTACCCGTAAAGATGACAGACAGGTCTTTACAACAAGATATAGCAAGCCATCTATCAGATTGGGATGACAGAAGAAAAACAGAAGAAAAACCATCTTGCTGATAATAAGTATTCAATGCGCGACATGCAGCTAACAGCATACCTATATCATTGAAAACAATTCGCAAAAGCAAAGGTTTCATAATGAATACGCCATTTCTGTAATGTCTCTTGCAATAGCTTTTCCAGATTCATCTATCACGGCATCTTTAATTCGGTTCACTATTCCAATGATATCTCGCCCTTTGGCCAGCTAAAATTCCTTGCAAGAATAAGTTTAAAAATAAATATTAATTAAGTTCAAATGCAGAAGTTTTACTAACTTGAATAACAGCAACATCGCCCCACATCAATGTTACTATTGCTTGAAGAAGTCGTATTAAAGCTATTTGATTGAAATCACCGAAACTGACAACATTCTCGATGACCTAAACAATATAGCACTTTTTTCAGGTCTATTCAACATCAAACAGACATCTTACAATGTGAAGGAAGGAAACTAATAAAGAAATATCAGAAGGTTATTTGTCGAAAATGATATTTAACATTTTTCAACAGAATAATTTCTCGCTGATCTTGACTGTACGACAGATAAGAAAGATTGAAATAGAAATCTCAAAAGGGATTCGAAATAAAATATGGAAAATATTTTATATGAGACCTGAATAATAGCTCGTAAGGCATCTTCTCGTGGACCAAGTTCAGCTACTTTCCCAGATTCTGTATGGCGTAACAAAATTAAAGCCCAATTTGCTAAAGCTGTTGTTGCAGCGAGCTTGAAATCATATTTTTTATATTCATAAAACAGAAAGTAGTAATTATTAGCCGACATCGTTATCAATTTTCTTTTGAAATGACGGTGAAGTATCATCAACATAAGGATGTTAGGAACTGTGTTAAAAGAATAGCTGTTTTAAACTTGAGTCGAAAATTCTGGAATGCGTACTTGTAAAGCATGTTTTGCACTATTTAGCTGTACTGCAACGTACTTGACTGTTGTATTAACGTCATGGATGAGCATTGAACGACCCCATTGATGCATAGCAGCATTCGCCATGGCTCGACATGCCAAAATACGAACTGGATCAGAATTCGCACTTATCTATAATTCTCAACAAGAATAAAAATTAGAATTAAAAATCCTTTGGCCCATTCAAGAATTTTTAACTATAATTTTTGTTGAAGCTGAATAAGTGCATGTAAAATGTTACGTTAATCATTATTAGTACTACCAGCTTATATAACATCGTCTCCACCTATTTTTTTTCATTATTTTGAAAACGTACTAAAAAATTAGTCAACCGCTGCATTGTTTCCAAACCTGCAGAAGACCTTTCGCCTTCTGCATCCAAGGAACAATATATTCTATTCAGGGTACGATTTAAAAGTGCTAAACGAAATACATCCAGTATAGGAATAATTGTATCTGAAATCAGTTTTATCATGCGTTTACAAGTATTTCTCGAAAGAAAAACTTGCTAAATTCAATTTAATAAAGCTATAAGATTTAATTGAAGTAAAAAGAAAAGAATTAAATGAAGTATTGAATAAATGGCATATAAGTCCATCTACAAACACCTAAAATTTCTTTTTAAAATAAAAAAAACAATAAAGTACGAACCCATATCCCATCCAAAACCTGTATCAATCGCAGAAACATGAATGTCTCGTGGGTCATATGTTGAAATTTTTAAAATATCTTCTAGAGCGCATAACTGAAATGAGTGTAATTAACCGCTTAACAATACAGAAACACTTTCAAATAGTTCT